AAGTTATTGATCATGTCGGGCACGCATTCCTTTTTTTTTTTTTTGAGAATTACGAATGAAAGCTGACGTGCGGCATACTCTAACAAGATAGCATTGCTAACCAATTAATCCTCTAACTTTAGTTAACAGAACCTTTTTAAAATATCCTTAGGATGTTGTTTGAAGAGAACACCTAATCTTCAAAACATATAACTAATGTATTTGTGCATAGTATACTACAACAAAGTCCGTCTTGCGCACAAACACACAAGCCTTGATCAGCAGGCGAAATGAGGCAAAAGCTCTCCTCGGGTGAAAGTTGCGAGTTTAAAAATACGAAACAGAAAGACAAATGAATTTAAGAGCATGGTCAGCTAAACTTACCTTGTATGTCAACGACACGCTATAGGCTGACATGAGCGATACATCACAAATGGCAATAAGATTCTTGGCGAGCATTCGCACGCAAGCAGCAATCCTCACCAACACTTTACGCTTGTCTAATGGGAGCACCTTGAATTTTTCCGAGACAATCTATTTGAGAACAAAAAAAAACACAACATGACAAAAAAATAAAACAATGAATGCTAATGAAATACCGAAGTGGAATCTGTGTTGTAACCACCGTCAGGATTAGTGTTCAGAGCAGGAGAGATCCATATTATACCATTACATCCAATTATTACACTGACCCCATACATTTCATGCATATACTCCTTTTGAGGTTTTATCAAGTTCGGAGGAACCTATTTACATTCAATTAACATCAAATCAAGGATTATACTGTCTGAAGGCAAAACTGATCCTTTACCTTGATCATGATTCCTTGACCGAGTTTACCATATTTCATATTCCTTGTGTGAAGTTGTAACTGTCCACGCATTCGTATCTGCTGAACCTCTGCACTAACCATATCACCTACCACGAGATGTTTTGACATAGCGACCTCATCCTTAATCGAGACAGTGGAATGAAAACAGATAATTAATTTAAAAACAGATAATTGATTTAATTACTGCTGAACGGAAACACCAGGACAACTAGGCACGCTGTAAATATGAGCGTACCTCTAGGCCTTTACGTCGAAGCTCGCCACCAGGAAGGTTAACATTATTCAGATGCAAGATAGCAGCCATTCTATAGTTTATATCCACCTAAATATTTTTAACAAAGAAAAGAAATTGACAAAAACATCGGATCAAATACCTTCCATCGAGCCCTCTGAATGCTTGCAATACGTCCCACTACGACGTCTCCTATTTTGGGTATATACCTGAAAAGAAAAAAACTCAGAGTACATACATGGGGTACATAGAGTCAAATCGCAAAACAAAGCAACACAGACTTTGATTTGTACGGTTCCACCAGAAACAGTCGGCTATACTGCATTTTCACACCAGACACAGTGGCCATTAGGTTATCACCAGATGGAATAGTACCATGACCACTGAAATCGTAACTAATGACAGTTTATAAAATATTAATGTTAGAAAATCTAGCTTAAGAATGGTCGAGAAACATAAAATTAGTAAGATTTAAGTAGAAAGATTGGCAAAGGATCTTTCTGCATACCTCATCACCTCGGTCCCAAAGGACAGTGGTTGCCCGCAATGCACTACATCTCCTCGTGGGGTACGCGGAACAATATTCTGTACTCGAGTCGTCGGAGGGCCAGTGATGACCACGGACATCTGTTTTGCATTCAAGTACAATTTCTTACCATATTTCAAACAATAAAAAACAAGAAATCACAAAAAAGTGGTATGAAGATGCCACATCGCCACAAGTTCAGTGAACAAAATAAAAAGAATCACAGTAAAATTTATAATCTGAAAAGCATCAATCTCAGTTTCCCACGACTGCACAACCATAAGTGCAGTCTAGAGAAATACCAACAGATTTACACAATAAATGTGGAATATAAGATTTCGACAATTCGATAGCGATAACCAGAACAGTCTGTATTCTATAGCTTGAACCGATTCATCTTCACAGGGTAGGAGAAGTTGATTAACATTGAAACAAATTAACCAATCATGTGAGCGTCCAAAACTCTATAAACGAATGCGCAGTAACATACCATATCTGGACCTGAGGAAGAAAAAACACTGTAAAAACAAAACATCGCTACTAACAACGGAAATAACCGCATGAAAGGGTAAGATTGAGAATGTTAGAGACAAAAGGTAGCATTGTAAAAGAGCGAAAAAAGGAGGAGAAAAGGGAGAACACGAAAAAGAACGTATAAGTATGGAAACAGGAAAAAATCTGATAACTAGTCGAAGGTTAAAAAGAAAAGAAGATATTTGCAGGAATATATCGAAAACGGAGCGAATTCTCATCAAAAAACATGTGATTGAAACTACTGAGCACAATTTGAGCCATCTAACAATACGTAAATGTCACTGTCGCCTAAACCTACACCCCGAAAAAACGCCGGGCGAGTTTCTTGGCAAGCTGCCCACCGTTTGAATCTATTTCGTTGCTGGACCCACGCCATCATCCCTTTGCAATGGTTTCAATTTGACGATTCGTTTGAATTGCTTTCGGAAGAAGTAATGTTAGAGAGACCGCCCCGTGAAAAATCCGAATGTAAAGGGAAAGATGACAAAATACGTTGTTTGAAAGATGTTATATAACATCTTGAGAGGAAAGATTTGAAAAGAAGAGACGAACCGTAGAAAGAGGAGAGCTTTACGAAGAGGTTTTCCAAAGATGAATGTAAAAACGGGGACCCGGACCGGTAAGTATTTTCATTCCAGTTCAAATTTCACGTAGCTGCTCTTTTCTTTGGGCAATAGGGATACACTTTCTGTAAAGCAGAACTCCTTTCGTGAACTTTTGTGCCTCCTTACAAGATATCAAATTACCTGTGACCTAAAGCGGTTTCCCAACTGTTCATTGTGTAGAGAGCCACAATACATTGATTTCGATTACATTACATTAACATTAATAACCCATCCAGTAAGAGTATGCAACCATAAAACGTTAGATTGAATTGGAGCGATGTTCAAAACCAAGACTGCGTTACGGGAAAAAGCTCATTAGTAAAAAGAAACTAAAAGACAGAATATCAATTACAACCTTACTCTTTTAAACGGCCCCTTCTTAAATAATGGAAACGAGGCGCATGCTTTCTTTTGGTCTAATGGTATAACTTCATTTAAATGCGTTTTAAAGCGAAATGGCACTCTTTTTTGGAAAGTCCTTCTGTCAATGCAGTTGGGTGCTATTTTCTAAAAGCCTCACATGGTCATTAGGTTGAAAAAGGAAGTGGAGCGCACGGGTGACAACGTGCCAGGTAATGAACATTCCTTCATGGCTGCAGTGTATTTGAAAGCCAATTTGAGCCAATACAATGTCTTGTGAGGCAAAGCGGTGTGCTCCTGCTTTTCGTCTTTTGTTAGTGACCAAGGATTACATTAATTCCAATGATACTATGCTGATAATAAGTAGCGCCATAATGAAACAAAAGTAAAGAGTCGATAGCGTGGGTCCGGCGCTTCGATTGCTTCATTCTCAAGCCGTATAGTTGACAACTGCCCGAAAATTTGATGAATGTCTCGCGACAACTCGCCTGGCGTTTTTTCAGGGTGTAGGAATGGGCGATATCGGGTTACTGATTCGCGCTGGCCCCCGGACCAACATTTTCACCTACTTATGGCATAACACAACAGGATCTTCAAATATGGGCACGATTTTTCGGTTTTCTCCCTCGATGAGGATTCCTTCACACTTTGTTCCCGAATACAATCGACAAGCAACAGCGGTTCTACTGCAAAAGACATATTCAAATTTCCCGCTAAGCAGCGCGCAATTGGAAGCGACCGGGTTGACAGCGGGCACTCAGCTCCAACAGTAATATGAAGGTGAAATACAATGCAATGCACGAAGACCTCCACAGACAAATTATTTCCTTTCACGGCATAACGGATTTGAATATACAGATCACCATATATAAGACGAGTTAAAAAGTGGTCATGGCCAAGGGGCAATAGCACTGACAATGATAATGACCTGAACGCAGCGCCTTACAATTAGACCGCTCGGCCAGAATGACATGTGGTCGATGGTAGTTGAGGAAA